CCGTGGGACAAGTCTTGGAATGTTTTCAACTTCGCCAAAATCAATATCTGTATCATATATCACACCGACATTTTTCACAGTGGTATTCTTCAAATCATTCAGATAATCGGTAACTGAGCTTACTGTTCATGAGGAACAGGAGTTTCATCAGTCCATGACGTTTTCAAGATAGACAAAGGGCCATTAGAACATCTTCCATAAAGCATTTGGAAGGACTAACACCAGTCGTAGCATTAGGAATTTCTCGATAAGCCCAAAGTAAGTATGGTAGATGTTTCTCCCAATCTTTGGAATGTTCCCTAATGATACGATGTATCATTCCCTTTAAAACAGCATTAAATCTTTCTACAAGGCCATTTGAACTTGGATGATAAGGAGTTGAGAACCTTGGAAATGATCCGATCCCTTTCAAAAACTCTTGAGTCAACGAAGCAGTAAAATTAGTTCCTTGATCTGAAGCAACAATCTGAGGGATTCCTGTGCGTGAAAAGATTAGCAACAATGCATCGCATGTTGTTTTTGGTATTCAAATTCTTCAATGGCACCGCTTCGGGCCATCTTGTACATTGATCAACAGCACACAGAACATATTTGTAACCTCTACAGATTGGCTCTACATGTCCAAGGATATCCACATTAATTACCTGGAATGGTTCTTTAGGACGTGTTACTGGCATAATCGGAACTTCTTCAAACGGATGCTTTTTCACTTGAAGTTGACAAGAAGTACAAGTATTGCAATATTCATTTACATCTTTTTTGATTTCGGGCCAATAGAAGGAATATTTCAAGTGCAGGTGACTTCCCCATAAGCTAGAATGAGCTAAGTCCAAAATTTGTTTTCTTCTTTCTTTAGAAACGACTAACTGGTGAACTCTTTCTGATAAAACTTTATGATACAAAAAGTTGTCAGTAACAATAAAGTTATTACATCCATTCTTAGCATTTTGCCAGCATGTTTTTAAAGATGGGTCATTCATTTGTTGCACTCGAAACAGTTCTGAAGTCGAAACACATTGATTGTGCCTCGTGCTACCTTTGGAATCATCCTTACCTGCATTTTCATATGCAAGAGCACAACATTCTATTATCTTCTTAACAGTTTCATTACATTTTTCATTAATTAGGTTTTCCCTATCATGGTCAAGTATTTCGTCAAAATTTTCAGTTTCATGAAAAGGCATTTCAACGAAACTATCATTATTAATGTTTACATTTTTACATTTAAAATTAAACTTTCTTTTATCATCTCCCCTTAACTCATTAAAAGCACTTAACAACAAGAGTAAATCATTACAAAACTTACCCACCATTGCACATGTTATAAAAATAGGTGAAATAAATTTATCATCTTCAGAATGCATTAAAGGTAGGTTAATGAGAGGAGCTTTTAAAGCTTGCCCAAAAGCTGACGTGAGGATAACACTTCCACGTGGCGTACAGTATTTTTCTGGTACAATGTCAGCCTTGACAACGGTTAATTGCGTGTCTGTATCTGCTACTGCATTAATTAATTTACCATCACATATAAGTTTAACGGTTAATGAGAGGAGCTTTTAAAGCTTGCCCGAAAGCTGACGTGAGGATAACACTTCCATGTGGCGTAGGGTATTTTTCTGGTACGATATGTCAGCCTTGACGAACGGTTAATTGTGTGTCTGTATCCTGCTACTGCATTAATTAATTTACCATCACATATAAGTTTAACAGTTGGCAAATCACCTATTAATTCCTTATCTTATTGATTCACAGTAAAATAGTTAGAAGAAATCTTTGCTGTTACGGCGTTAGAATTATTTTTAATTTCTTCCTTAGCAACCTTTTCCTTATCTTCATGCTACAATATATTATGATACTTAGAATTACATTTTGAGCATTTTAATTCAGAAGCACAATTTTTTGTTCTACAGTTCCTTTTCGAAACAAAGAAAGCACCGATTAGAATCCTTTTAAACTCCTTTTTTCTTTATTCCGGGAAACATAACGCATTTTTCTGAAAACATGATTTCCTCTTTCACAAAATACGCAAGGGGAAAGGGTCGAGCAGGGTCAATTTTGCTTACGTTAGGGGAAATAGCTCGGCGCCAAATTTGTTGGTTGTTGAAATGAATTCCGAGTGTGGAAATTGTTTCGCTTTTCATTGGGTTGAGAATGCGTTCCAAGAGAATTAGCTAACTTAGAATAAGGTAAATTTAATGAAGTTCGTTCGCGACTTTCAGTTTCCCGTTTTAGAAATTTCATGAGGTTGTCGACATTAAAATTTTCCTCATCTGCGTTTTTGACGAGCAAAATCAAGGTATATCTTGAGGTATGTATTTCATTAACAAAGGGTATAGTAAATTTCCATACAATTCGGTTTTGACCCCTATCGAATTTAGTGACCTTATTTGTACGTTGCAGGTGTCATATAATTCCCTCAAAGAATGAATGTTATTAGAACTTCGGACAGGCCGTAAATTTAAAAGTTTATGCATGTAAGAATTAATAAGGAGATCTTTTCGACCATATCTCTCTTTAAGAATTTTAAAAGCTTTGTCGTAGTTTTCTGGAGGTAAAGAAAAGTCTTCTATTGTTTTTATAGCTGCACCGCCTAACAAGCTAAGCAAGTAATTAAACTTATCCACTTAAGATAGTTTTTCGTTTTGATTTATAGCCATGTCAAAAGAATTGTAAAATGTTTGCCACACTTCAGTGTTTCCATAAACTTTATCAATCATAATCTTCGGAAAATTAACATTATAATCAGAACTTTTATTGACACCAGAAATAGACAAATTGTTACTATCATTAGAAGAACTATCATTAGAAGAACCATTAGAAACTAGCGAATTATTGCTATTTCTTTTTTCTTTCAATAATTTTGTGCCTCTAAAGCTCCATTTCACAATCTTTTCTTCGAATTCCAAAGCACTTTCGATTTCAGTTTCAATGTCATTAACATCAGTCAAAGTTTTAATTTTTTCATCTAACGCTCTCAAAGAAATAGCTTTTACTTTTAACATTTCCAGCGATTCTTCGAGGTCTTCAAGGTTACTGGCTGCAATTAATGATTCAATAGAATTTGTTACTTTAGTAATGGCTGAACGAATAAATTTCCGTTCTTTCTTAGATTTTGTTAGCTCTTCAGCCATTTTTGTAACCTTGAATTTCACTTTACCACAAAATAAAGTGAACAAATTTCTTACCTTTCTGAAGATTCACTTATGCATTTTACCCGTGAACTTGATGCATATATGTATGTGTTTGAATGAATGACATATCCTCCTTTTCTGACACCACTGTCTGGATATATATTTAATTTCTATCTTAGACGTATCGTAATGTGCACTAAATGTGAGCATTACATAAACCAGCCATTTTAACGGCACAAAAACTTTATTAACACACGAACAAAATAATAAGAGCAAACAATTTACACAAAAGTATAACTGTGTATTTTCATCCACGCTGGCATACAGCATGTTACCTTCATTACTTCGCTAACAACTATTAACTACTCTTCTCTAGTAAATCACATGAGAGAGAGGTGTTGCGGACCGTTCGGCTAAACTGCACATGCGTGGTCATCACGTCATGACAAGTATATTACAGTACAAGTGAAAAAATTGACAGTTTCACACATGCGTGTGTCGAATTTGCGCAATGCTTATAGGGTCCCACAAAATTTTCGTAAATATCATGGGGTCCTGGGGGTCGCAAAAGAATCTCAGCGATAAAAAGGGGCCATGACTGAAAAAAGTTTAAGAAACCCTGATATAAACTATAGGTTTACATTGGTATTTTATATACACATTGAGCAAAAATTAAATACAGGACAGGTTTTTTACATGTAGTTATATCACAGTGTTTCAAATCAGTACAAATATATCACAGTATCAAGATAAGAACGGAAGAGGTGAATATACTGACCAAGTAAGGAACTCGAACGATGTAAAGGAATTTTATTTAAAAGTGGGTTCTGAAAACTGCAGGCCTTAGCAGGATATATGATCATCCCAGATTGCATGGTGATGTGCACTGTCTGTTCATGCTCAGCACAAGATCTAAGAAGCAGAACATAGGTACAAATGCAGTCACCAATGGCTGAATCTTCTCAAAAGACATGAAGTTCTAAATGACCACTAAGCATTTTGCCTTTCTGAAAATGAACTCTGCCATTTAAAACAGTGGCCTTCAATAATATTAGAGGGATAAAAATGTGTTTCCTGTTTTAATCTGAAATTTAGACATTTGGAATCAGTGAGAACAAATTGGCTCTTATTCATAACAAACACTTGACCCCATTTGCTCAGCTTCCCAATTTTTTTGTTCCAGGCATTACAGAAAATGCCCTCTCCTGATCACTGATTAATAAAAAGTGATATCAGATGGTAAGGTCAACCAAATGTTGTCTATTGGACATGCCACACAGACATCAATTCAGCATGGTTCAAACCAATGCGTGGAAGGTTTCACAGAAATATCTGGGTGTGCAGTACTCCTGAGCTTTCTGCTCCTCCCACCATAAGTCATACTATATATATGTTGTACGCCCCACTGTACTGGATCCCAGGCAATATTTGGATTGGTCTTTGGTTTTAATTCTGCCTATTTGTCCTGCTCACATAATTTTCCCTTTCTGTCCAGAATATCTGCATATCAGTATATTACCTTGCTATTTAAAATATTGTTTTCTTATCTTCTTTGAAAATCCAGATATCATCTTCATGAACACAAATGGTACTTTTCTGTTATTGGGATGGATTTAGAAATGTATGGATGTAAATATGCATGTGCATATATACACACATACATAAACACATACATATATGCATACATTTAAGACTATGGTACCAATAACAGAAAGGTACCATAGAAAGTTATGGGAAAAAAGCATATAATTATAAATTCAGTCGATAAATGCTTCCTAAATACAGCTCTTCAGGAGCAAATATATCTGGGTGCTCAAAGATTTATTATTACCAATAAGAGATTGAATGTAACAATGGAAAATACCATACCAAATGTGAATTGCTCATTGTCCATAAGTCTAATGGATGCAGGTTTCAGTTGCTAAAAATAAAATTTCATTTATATAAAATTATGTATATTATAGAAAAATCAATTCATGTTTAAATTAGAAATGTAGATCATATTTTACATGAAAATCCACACATAATATGTATTACCTGGCGTACAACTTCTCTAAGAAAGGCAACACCTGGTTCAAAAGATGGAAAAACAATGGATCCATACTTCACACATGCTGGAATAGGACGCACTCGGATAATTACTTCAGTAACAACACCTAGAGTACCTGGAGAAAAAATCATATAAATGTCAAAAATAGAAGCCTTCATACAAAATCCCCCTCCCTTTCTGAGTTAAACATAATGATTAACTCCTGATAACTATAGAACAACAAAAGGTGAAGTTGACCATTTGCCCCAAAAAGGTCAAAACATCAGATCTCAAACAGAAGAGCATCTGTGGGGGTCAGAAATTCACTAAAATATGTGCATCTCTCTCTCTATATATATATACGTGTGTGTCTTTATTTAATATACATACACATTTACTTATATGTATTAATAAATTTATGAGTATTATTAATATTCATATATATAATGAAAGCAAACTTAGAAGTAATGATGCAGAAATATTGATTTTTGCAAAGAATGTTGATCCATAATAAAAAGCAAACTGGGCAGGCAAGGCAGATTAAATATTTGCCTTTATTTTAAAAAAATACGTTGTGGGAACAAACAACTTGGCGCACTAATCATGCCTGTTTTGAAACATTTACATTTCTGATAGCTCTGCAGTAAGAGGAGAGCAGCATGCAGCCGTCCAAACTAGGCTGAAGTGTAGAAGACTGGTCTGTGTTAAGGTTGAAATCTTAATTCAGAATGAGTTAGTTTCGGATCTCAGTGCATTTGTTGGATAATTAATACTGCTGTAAAATTATTATTGGCTGTTTGAGATTTAATTCTATTTACATCACCAGTGTTATGTAAAGGGCCGTTCAGACTGGGGTTTATCTGAGTTAACAGAGACAACTTACTTAGCCGACCCATCTCCAAAACCAGTTTTTCCCCACAGTGCAGCGAATTGAAAAATCTGAACTGCATGCATTAGCGGAGATAGTCGATACATGGAACTGATTCCGTTAGCTCAGATAAACCCCACTCTGAATAGCCCTTAAGAGTCATATGACTAAAACAGTCGAAGTGGCCATTTTGCTATTAAAAAAAAATATCTACGATATGAAATTCAGTCAGGAAAATATCAACCCAGTAATGCAAATATTGAAGTTATTAAAAAATTAACACCCTCAAAATGTTAAAGAATTAAAGATTTCCACAAAGTATTGATGTGTATCATAAATTTATTCCAAATTATGCAAGAATTAGAGCCCTTTTAACTAATTTACTTAAGATACTTCATATAAATGGACAACTCAATGCCAGCCAACCTTTCAAAATATAAAAGATGCTTTAATTTCTATACCCATTTTAACGTTATTTAATCCAAAATATCCCTGACATGTATACGTAGATGTATCTAAAGAAGCTGTTGGTGCAATTACCAATAGAAGAAATTAAAGATCACCAAAATTTAAATAATGTTTATACCTAAAATGTACAAGAAAATTAATGATGTCTTAACTGTGTTTCTTTATAGTTATGACATCATTAATTTTTAAGTTTGTAATTCCAATATCTCTTCCTACTAAATTACTTGAAAAACTCACATTAAATTTGGGCATATTGATGTTTCCTCAATTTTAAATTTTACTGTCACCTTAGTATTAGTGGGCAGAAATAGTACAATATAGTAGAAATTACTGTAAACACTGTGAAGTATATCAGTTAAATAAGAAAAGTAAACAAAGAAATTTGGTTTAATGAAAACTTTACCATATGTATGTGAACCATTTGAACTACTTTATCTACTGATACTATAGATGGTTTAAATTAATATAATTCTACTAAAAAGTACATTCACATTATTATTCAATATATATTGACTTTTGCTTCTAAAAGCAAAAGTGATTATAATTTGTAAACTACTGATATTTACATAAATAGTGTGAGGGAAATTTTTCAAATTCAGATTCCACAGAAAATTGTAATTGATAGAAATGCTGCTTTTACTTCTTCAAAATTTAACCACTTTTTGAGAAACAATAATGTACACAATTGTAATCTATTGTTGTAACAATTCTTTTTGTTTTCAAAAGACTTGTTTTGCAATTACAAAAAACAATAAGCAGCTATTAGAGCTTATACTATCTTAAGAGTTTTACAAATTTAGGGATTATAACTGACATCATAAAGACAAGGGTTAAAGTTTTCCTCTACAAACTTTACTGTAATTTAGGGTAGCACCCTAATTACTTTTATATGTTGCTCGTAAAAAGTATATTGAAATTAAGGAATGTCAGAGTTCAAATAATGATTACTCCTCTCAACACTACTGCAACTAAACAACAGACACTATGAACAACAGCATTTACTCTATTACATGTAATATGTGAAATCTTGTTTACATAGGACAAACTACGAATAATCTTAATAACATAATATTAATATCAAAATTTTAGAATATAATACCTAATCTTAAAAACAGACTTAATCTCTATATGTTTTGCAGTTAAGAAAGCTTTATCCCTATGGAATAAACTCTTGTATTAATAGTATTAATAGTAAATCTGCTTTTTTGCTACTGTTTACGAACAATTCAGTCTTTTTAGTAAAAAATTGCAAAGAGGTACCAGAGGAAATAGCAAAAAAGTTAAAACATCTCTTAATACTAATATTCTACAGTCAAAATTTCAAGATTTATTTGAAGAACAACATTTCAAGAAAAATATTCTTAACTACCTTCATTCCCTACTTTACAGACATCTTATTATCATTCAAAATTTTGTTAAAGCTAAAAACATATCAAATAATATCATTAAAGATTTAGTACTTGATTTCATAAAATTCAAATTCAATTGTGCTTCTTCCAAAAATAAAATTTTCTGTACCATTAACTTTCTACATAAAAATTATGATGATCTTCATAAGATTTTAATTTATAAATTTTTCATAAGATTTTTAAACAAGCGCAACAAAAAATTTCCAGCAATCAATTCTAAAATTTCAGTTTGCTTCAAGTACAACAAAAACTAAGTAGTTTTATTTCTAACCATAATGATGAAGATTTTTCAGCATCATGATTATGTGATGAAGAAAAATTTCTGCCATTTGTTGACAAAGAGCACAAGCATATTATAACAGGAAATCTGGACATTATTCAAGATCAAGAGATTAGAGTGCTTATGAAAAAAGGAATGAAATTTAGACCTATTAAATTCATTAATAAATTACATTGCATAGAAAGTATTTCTACAGATATTGATAATTTAATCTTGAAAGTTAGTTCTCAACTTAGTTTGCCTTCACATTTATTTAAAGAATGGAAAAATGAAATTAGTACTCAAAAAGAAAATTGAGAAAAAGGATTTAAAGGAATTAAAAACTGGAAATATTTACTTCTAAAGTTTTCACAATAAAAAAAAGCAATTCACACCATAACTAAAATTGATAAAGCAAACAATAATTTCAGTATTTTTTGAAAAAAGATTCTACCTATAATATCATTGAAAATGAGCTAACGAACTCTACTACCTATAGTATCATCAGAAAAATAAATAAAGAAAGAACCTGTTAGTAAAAAAATTTCTGCCTTTCACACAAAATGAAAATTTTCTCTCTTCACTACAAATGACAGATTTGCCAATCTTTATGCCTAACCAAAATTTCATAAAAATCCTGTAAAAGTTAGATCTATCGCTAATAGTACCAGAAACTTTTTTGTTTCTGGTACTATTATTTAAAAAAAATACTAAATTCTGGTACTATTATTTAAAAATAAAAAAAAAAAAAGAATTTTGATAATATTTTTGCCAATCTACTTATTTGAACAAGTTAAAGAAAACAAAAACTTCTGGATTATTTACGACAACTTGAAAATCATTCAAGAAGTTAAAAATCTTAAAATTTACAATATTAACTGGTGTACGAGTTTGAAAGCCTCTACACGACCCTGCCACTCTGAGAAATCTACGAGAAATCTTATAGAAATGACAGAATTTTTTCCTGAAATATTTAATATACTGGATTTATATAAATGGAAAGAATTTCTACATTTTTCGCTGTACAATAAATTATATTAAACATTCAAACTTTCTTTACCTGCAAACACAAGGAATTCCAATGGAAGTTCATATTCCATTCACATTTGTAACCTATTCCTATTTTCTAGAGAATTTAAATTCCTCAAAATCCTTTCTGATAATGGTTTCAGTAAATTTGAACACACTTACAGATACATTTATGATATTATTACTTTCAACAATTTTAATCTCATAGAAATGAGTAACATCTACTGAAATTGTCTAAAACTAAATAAGACCAATAAAAACCAAACAGAAATAGTTTATCTTGATCTAAGTATTCATAAACTACAGGAAATTAAACTTTTTGATAAACAAAAAGATTTTAATTTTTCTACTAATAAACTTATTAATTGGAATTCTAACATATCTAAAAAATTTACTGCAAATATTATTTTTAACCAAATTAGTAGAATTAAAAAAGTGTTTCCATTGAAATAGAAACACAAAAAGAAGAAATTCCAATTCTCATCAAAATTTTAAAAGATAATGAAATTCCTTTAAAATTCATTAATAGCATATTAAAAAAATCTGGAGTAGTCTACACCCTATAATACTTTTTAATAGTATGAACTTTTTAACTGAATCTCCAAAAGAGAAGAATAAAGAAGGATGTTTTAAAGGGTATGTAGGTTATTTTTAAATTACTATTCTGTTACTAACCATGGCCTTACATATATATTCAAAGTCGTCATGAGAAGCCCATGACGTGAAGACTTTTTACTTTTGTAACATATTTCCTTTACTTCCTTTTTCAACTTTTTTTCTATAATTTTAAATTAGAAAATTTAAAAACTAAAATTCATCTTTATATAATTTTTACTCATATCTACAAATCAATTATTAAAAACTATTTGATCACTTTTTAGGCAACTTTTTTAGTCTTTTTTTAAGGATTAATTAATTTAATTAAAATTTTACACTAAATAATATTTATTCCCATTTTTGTTTTTCAAGAGTAAGAATTTACTTAAATTTCATTCAATTTATATGCAATATTTTTCTTTGACTAAAAAATAAAAATTAATTTTCATTGAAATATTTAAAAGTTTTTCTTTTGGTTTCAAAATTACATATTTCATACAAGATTT